CGCGCGTGAGTCGTGTTGCAACACGACATACTGGTTTGTCGTGTTGAAAATTCAACACGACAAACCACAACATTTTGCATATGATCATGCATCTTTGTTTTCCAGTAGACAAAACTGTGAGAAAAAAAAGCAGCATTTTCAAAGTTACCCGGCATACTGGAGACATTCTTTAAGTGTCCGTAAGTCACCGTCTAAGGCTGCTGCGTTGACCTATGACCTCCACATAGGACAAGATGTGGAATGAGCAATAACTTATAACACAAAACGCTATTGTTTCTTTTCAGGCAACATCTCCAATGCATATTTAGAATAGCTAGTCCACATACAAAGTTAGTTTAAAGACTTTCTATATTGAGCCATGACACACACACACACACACACACACACACACACACACAGGCCATTCAAATGTTCTAGTCATAGTCTTATTTTAATAGTCCTACATCAGGGGTCTCGGGCCAAAGTTGGCCCAGCATAAGGTTCGATTTGGTCCACCAGATGTTTCTAGTGAGTAAAAAGGAATTTAAATTTAAAAAAATATATAAATTTATATATAATATAAAAATATAAAATATATACGTTGGCTATGAATCGCTGTTTTATTTTTGTGGGATCAAAATGCTCTTTAAATATGTAGGATCCCTAATTATTAATTATTCTTTATAATCTGATCATGGCGGACAGAGTTTGCTCTGGATGTCAATTTGGCGTGAGTGAGATAATAAAAATATGTGGAGGCACAGACAGTGATAAAGGAACAAAATGCATTTCACTGAAGTTAACTCTAGATCCTAGTATAATTTACATTTAACAACACAATACAATAACACAGTTGTGTGCTTTTGGCCTGTGGCTCACCAGTCATTTTCAGTTGTTGCCTTCCAAGGGAAAAGGTTTGGGCAGCCCTGCCCGAGATGATTCAACCTTAACTTTACTGTCCCCCAAAGAGACGTTTGTCTTGCAGTTAAACACACAAACTTGAACATATGAATTATATTTAAAAAATGAATCAATAACAGCGTGAACATGACCCCGGTGTCTTCAGGTTCGTCATTCCATAAAATGTGCATTTCTTTTCTTTTAATTATCTGATCAATAAATACATAAAAAAGATTCCATTATTACCAGACATTCAATGTTTGCATCGTGTTACAGACAAACCACTTTTATTAATTATCACAATTTTATGCAGAATGTATCATGTCATGGTGAGTTTCACACATAAAGATGTTCCTTATTCATCATATATGAGCAGTAAACATTTAATAAATGGTTTATAACACACTATAATATAAGTGTTTATTAATGTATTTGTTAACAACTATAACTCCTCCTGTGGACACCCAGTATGAAGAGAATGAATGACAATATAGTGAAATGCTGTTGTAATGATTTGAAATATGTCTTCACAGGAGAAGTTATAATTGTGGTCAAATAAAGTGTTAACTGTCCTCACAATGACATTACAGTGAGTTATATAGTATTAAGTAAATGTTTGTAAGCTGCTTATAAATGCTAAATGACCTAAAGGTAAATGTTGCCGTTACAAAAAATAATTACTAAAAGCGGAGAAGATGAAAACAAATGTGAATTAAAACTGTTAAACTCTGTGATGAATTAGCACGTACCCTCAAAGAGTCTCGTCAGCTCCACCACTGACCTAGAACAAAAAGCTTTGTTCACAGAGCGCAGTGAGGCAGAGCCTGAGACATGTGTGGAATGTGTGTGTGTGCCACAGCAGCAGCTCCACTCTGTAATACGGCTTTGTGTTTATGGATGTTTTGTGTCTCAGGGATTGGCAGGGACACGGCTCTGGCTCTGGCACGCTGCGGGGCAAAGGTCACAGCGGTCACACGCACGCAGGCCGACCTCAACACTCTGGTGCAGGAGGTACGTCACACACTTTGACTTGAATCCATAAGTGATAGGGGTGGTAGAGATTCCTGTGTTTAAGACCCGAAACCTTCACGTCCTCTGACAAACGGAGACAGTTCTACTACTACAGAGCTGGTTGTGTGAGGGTTAAAACACTGTGCACTGACAATATCACACTGTGCCTCTCTTCATTTAAGTTCCATTACCTTGAACAGACTTTGGCTGACATGACATATTGTTTAGTTCCCAGATTCTTCATTCAGCAATCTGATGCATCAGAGCTTTCAGTGAGAGAGTCTCCAGTTACAACCTGGATGAAGTTGGAAACTTTCATTAAATTAAATCTGATAGGAGATGACTGTGGCATCTTTGTGTGGCAATTCATAAAAAATAGAAATGATTCAAACTAAATATCCACATTTAAAAGTGCTAAATTCCAAACTTTGAGCACAGTAATGATTCAGGGATTGCCTCCACACGGCTCTCAGCTGGTGACAGCTGAGTCGACGGCTAGAAGCTAATGGTGCTAACAGCGCAAACAACAGCAACAGTGCTGACAGAGCTAACAGTGTGTCCCTGAGGGGGAACAAGTGGAACATGACATGTACACAACTGACGGTAGAGGGGAACTTAGAGCTTCATAGTTTGAAGTTAGGGCCACTGAGCAAGCAGCAGTATTTGACGAGTTAGGAGCGAGAAAGTGTTGGTCTCATTTGTATGCGAGTCATACTGATGTATTTAGCATACTGCTTTGTGAGTCAGTATAGACTGTTGTGTTGTTGTTGAATGGATGGTTGTCTCAAAGCCTTTAATACAATCTAATCACATTAAACATTACAGTTTCTCCTCTTCTCCTTCATCTCCTCCCTCTTCTATTATCTGCACTGACTTGTCCGGTGTTGACGTCCTCTCACAGTGTGCGTCCATCACCCCGGTGTGTGTGGACTTGGCAGACTGGGGGGGCCACGGAGGCGGCTCTGCAGGACGTCGGTTCCATCGATCTGCTGGTGAATAACGCTGCCTGTGCCAGTCTGCAGCCGTTTCTGGAGGTCACGCCCGACCAGTTTGACCAGTGAGACAAAATACATGATTCTTTGATGATTTTGAACTTGGAAGCTGCAGCAGCAAATAGTCCTAACATAACGTTTCGTCATGTGACAACCTGTTATGTTTATTGTGTTCTATGGTGTCTTTCATCTCCAGGTCATTCAACGTGAATGTGAAAGCTGTGTTGCATGTCTCCCAGGTACAAGAATGGCTTAAATCCACATCACTGCACTTGCATGTCCTACATTCCTGGCTTCAGTTTGTTCTTTGGTGTTTTTCCTGTTTTGTGAGTAGATGTTTTGCTGAGCTAAACATTAATGTTGACTCAGGTTTTGGTGTCAGGGACAGTAAAGTATGTTCTCTCCTTTTAATATCGGTGTATCAATGGTTTTATCACACTATTAGTTTGTATTCAAATGTCTGCTTTGTCAAACTGCTTCTGTTGAATCAAATGGAGCTCTGTCTCTGTGGTCAGATAGTGGCCCGTGGTATGAAGGCAAGAGAATCAGGAGGCTCCATCGTTAACGTGTCCAGCCAGGCCTCGCAGTGTGCCCTCAGAGACCACACTGTCTACTGTGAGTAACAGAGGAACCACCGTGCACCAACATTCACCTGGAGCCTTTCCTTTAAGAACAAGATGGAAGTAGCTGATGGAAGTGTTTGGTACATATGGACCGTTTTAACACAGTTGCATTGCTAATCAACAGCTAGGGTCTATGCATTGAAAAAAAATAATAGTAGAAAGAACATTCCCATTCAAATCAACGTGGAGAAAAGCTGGTGCCTCTCAGGCAGCCTGAGTCCACCCTGGTTACACAGAGCCAGAGTAAATGAGAACAATTTAACAACTTAATGCTTCTTCCATTTTCTGTAAACAGTGCATAGCAATAAAGCATGGTGGAAATAACCCGCTAGCTAGCTAACTAGGACAGCTGGATATTTAGTTCGCTAGCTAATTCCGGCATGCTTTAATGTTCCACTTGTTACAGAAAATGAGCCCAACAGTTTGCTCAGGAGAAGGACCAGCTAAGTAGCCGGCCATCCGTCTCCGGAGCTGTGTCAGCAACAAATGCCATTTTCTTTTGTACTAGTCAAAGGACCATGGAAAACAGTTCCTCCTATTCTATTTATTTCCTTCACATACACTGCAGCAGGAAACAAACAGGGACACATTTGGAATGTTTACGTTGACAGCTGTGAAATGGTTTATAGGAACAGATCCTTGACCGAATCTCCAAGCTTGACTGACTGTATTGACTCATTGTCACGGACTGAATCAGCAGCTTTCAGCAGTGGAGCTCCTCAGTGGTATGCATGTTTCCCTGTTGATAGCCATGCTATCCAGGTCTTTGTGTTGGCAAGAGTCTGGCGGTATGATACGTATCATAATCCGCGGGTTAGGGTTCAGCATGTAAGGGATAATATACAGCACCCTGACTGGGTGAGTAGGACTTGAATCACCCTGCAGGGGTTCATTTCACAATAATGCTCCGCTCACTGTACGTTATCCCGCCTATTGCACAACTACTTACTAAAGAGGTCAATAAGTTGACACTAAAATATTAAATGAAAAATGATTTTATTGCATCTGCTAAAAGAAATGGTCCTCTTGCTGTGTATGAAGTTTAGAACTGTGCCTAGATCAGCGCTCTGTTATCATAGCAGTGGTGTGCATTCAACAAAGCCATTTCATATATTGCGTTATTGTAAGCAAGGGGATATATTTTAATTTTTTTCACATCCAGTTTTAGGAAAACTGTCATAGTATAAAACACAAACACAGCCATATGTGTAAAATCTGAGAAAAATCTATTGCTTTCTTTATGCAATCAGAAGAGTGGATCTGCATCTTCATTCATCACAGTCCCTGTAACATCCAACCTCAGAGTGCAATCTAACACACTGCATGTAAACTACTCAATGGTGTTTCTGATTAGTGAAATAGCACCACAATTCACATAAAAATAATATCTGGATTCGTCAGTATTTAGTTAACAGAGGCAGGTGTTTAGTGGTTGATTCAGTCATGGTTGTACTTGTTGTAGAAGAGGAAGGGCCCCAGGCTTTCAGACTGCAGCCATGGTGATGGTGAAGTTGTCTCTGTGTTCCTGTCGTTGTTCAGGTGCCAGTAAAGGAGCCCTGGACATGCTGACTAAAGTGATGGCCTTAGAGCTGGGACCCGACCAGGTATCCTCAAGCTTACACAGCATGGCAACTTCAACTTCTCTTGATTATTTGGGCCGTTAGATTTCACAGTTAACATTCGCTGAGTGATCGGAAACATGGGAACCTCTGTATGTTGTAATGCAATTAATCAAACACTGATATGCATTATGGCTGCACATTAAACTAGATGTTATGTTCATTCATCTCTTGAACAAATACTTTTAAATAGGGGATCAGTACACTCGGTACAGTACAGCCGCTCATCCATCCACTCTCACTATGATTCCTGCTCTCTCTAACACTTAGATTGTATTTATTTACTTCATTCAAACAGGACCATAAACAGTGTAAAACATAAATGTCACCATTTATTATAGCTTTAACATAATTCACATCTGTAGTGTCTTGGCAGTTCACAACAAAGAAAGCACGATAACGAAACAGTAGCGAGTAAAAACACAACACAAAGTGATACAAGAAGGAATATACAAGACATGCGATACAGAGCCCAACACAACAGCACGTCACAAATGAATGCTCGTCACAGAAGAGCAAGTCATGAAGACCATTTTTCTGCATCAATTTATTCATGTAAAGGAAAACACTGAATTCAATAATATCGTGGAACATAATGCAGTAAGGCTCAAAGTCATTCTGTGTTGCTTTCACACATATTATTCTCCCGTAGATCAACTTTTCTCATTTAATGTTATCTCTGCTGAGTCAGCATACATGTCGTCCTGATTTACTCTTCCCTCTTTCGTGTTCTTAACCTCTTTAAATGTGCGATTCACCCCAATCATCAATCATTTGAATGTATTTATAAACCTCTATATGTAACGTTAATATTGTCTGAAATAACAGGGAGGTGCAAATCCTGGCAGGTAAAATATCCATATTGCCACATAATGCATCCACATATTAGGTTCATCTACATACACTTTAGTATCAAATATTGCTACCAGCTGATATTTCAGGCTGTTTTGAGGGAATAGTATGAATTTCGTACATTTAACACTCACCTGGTCTGAGGAAGGAGCTTGCAATTCTTGGCAGGTAATAAAAATATTCCTCTGCCAAATAATGGCTCCACATTTGACCTTTGTTTATAGAGATCTATGAATGAAATGAGCTTATCATTATTATAATGTTTCCATACATTTAAAAACAACTTATATTCTCAACTGAAATAAAAGGGGAGCCATTACGCAGCAGCTACTCTGTTCTACCAAACATACATTCACCCGTTAACGTCTCACTAAGAGCACTTCAAATCAAACCATGAATGAATCAAAAATACCTTTTATATTATTGAATATTAAATATGAATGACAATAATTCCATCCTTTTAACCGGTCTCTGCTGTTTAATAATGGGATATTTATTGTCGTTGTTATTGACTGAAGGTTGGAATTGTTGGTGAGGCGGCAGAGGAACCAGATGTTTTCACAGATTATCGGTCTCATGTACTACTGTCAGGATATAGTGACAGTAGCAAATATCACAGAAAGTTATTTTTGATCGAAGTCACATACTGTAGCTTGAACTGAAGTACCAGTGTTGTGTTCTGATTAGATCCGTGTGAACAGTGTGAACCCCACAGTGGTGATGACTGATATGGGTCGCCAGGGCTGGAGCGACCCAGAAAAAGCCAAGACCATGCTGTCCCGCATCCCCCTAGGCCGCTTCGCAGGTCAGGCACCACCGGCTGTATGTACATACTGCTGACACCACGTTTCTGGGGCAAATCCACAGATTCTCTTTTGATTCTTCCATCCTGATACACAGTCACATGTCATTTGAGATCACTGTTGATACAACTGTCTTTCTGTCCGGCTTAAGGATACTTGTCCGCATCCATCCGTTATTTATTATCTGCTGGAGCCTATCCCAGCATGCATTGAGTGAAAGGCGGGGGTGCACAGTAGTGATGGAGAGGGGGAAGGAGCCGTGGTATCGAAGTCCCCGCCCCCACACACGCGCCACAGCCAGTCACAAGCCGAGCACAGCCACAGCTAGTTAGCGTGAGCCACCTAGCTGCTACGTTAGCACCACGGTAGATGTTTGGCTAGAAAGACGGTATTAACCAGGATATCTCTAGAAATACTCTTCTCATCACGACACAGACTCGTCATTCTTGTTTCAGAACTGCATGCTGCTGACACTGTACTGGACACACAACATGCTCCATATGTTTTGAATTCACTTTTGTGACATGTCATCTATCTTAATATACAGTCTGGTTTGGACTCTAGAAGTGTGAGGCAGTGTCTGTGCCTGCAGAGGCCCTGCCCTCTTCCTGGATTGTCTTATTTTGCTGTGTTCTCGACGTTTCTTGGCTTCAACCTCTATAGAAACATAGCGAAATTAGCCAAGAAGAAGCTACGCAAATGGAGACCCCCCACAAATATAGCAAGGATAAAGCTCGTTCTAAAACGAGAGTGAATCTTGAACTGACCTCTTTAAGTTTAGGTTTTCCTCTTCTTTACAAGAGACACATGGAGGGAGGGCTCCTACTGCTCAGCCTCTTCAGAGACTTCGTACCAGGGGGCTGAAGAGGAGGCTGACGGTTGATTCAGATTCAGGAATGTGGACTCAGGAATGTGGACTCCCCCATTGTGTTTGTTGTGGACTTGGATAGGGGTTTTAAACACAATTATGCAGTGTATACACTTCACCAGTGTGTTGACCTCCGTGTCAGCTGAGCTCCCTGTGTGTCTGTGTGCAGAGGTGGAGGACGTGGTGAACACCATCTTATTCCTGCTGAGTGACAAAAGCAACATGACTAACGGAGTCACTCTGCTGGTGGACGGAGGCTTCCTGGCCTGCTGACCAGCACGAGCCTCGTCCCAGCACACGGCTTCCTGTGTTACCACATCACTGCATTATACAAAGAGAGGTCAACTCTGTTCATTAATTAAACTCACCCACTTATCCTCTCACTTGTCTCTGTTATTTGTGCTTATTTATGTGTATTGGAGCATGTTTCTTTGCTATTTGTGTGAATGAGTATTATTGGTAAGTCTAATAATGATGTAGGGCTTTATTTAACATCACATGCGCTACTTTACACAGATGATACAGTCGTAATGGCCGAGGCATCAGCAGATTTCTGTGTCATTGAAAATGTGGTATTTAATTGTTATACTAGTAAAGTAGAACAGAACAAGACAACACTCTAAAGTTACAAATGATAGAGTCACATGATCAATAGCAACAAAAACTATGTTGATCTTCTTTCCAATAGTTTTATTTTGTTTTCAGGGAAATCACGCCAATACGTTGGGAACCAGTAAAAATGAGATTGAGTTTAATAAATCCATCTGTAATTTGTTATCCTCGGAGGGAGCTGGGGCCGATCCCAGCTAACCGTTGTGTGCGTGATACATTTTAAAGTGGTTTAAAAGGTGGTGTCCAAAATTAGTCTTTCAATCCAGAATACATTGAATCTCTGTTAAAGATGTAAATATTCAGCACCAGCTGGCAGCTGCTAATAATAATAACTCTCTGGATTTATCAATTAAGTTAAATTCATTGATATTGTAAAGTCTGTTACAATTCCCTCTGGTCCCATGTTATGTCTTCAAGTAGCTCATTTTATCTAAGGTCACATGAGCAAAAGAAGAGTAGCAAACCTCCCATTAGATGAAACCACAGAATGTTTGAAACATTGATTGGTAACGTCAAGTGAGCGCAGTGCGCAGAGCGGAGCAGCTAGTACCAAAGCACAGAGGGCCATGACTCCTCCATACAGAGCTACAGGGCCATGACTCTATACAGAGCTACAGGGCCATGACT